CCCAAAACCATGGTGGCAAACTCGGCTTTAGAGCCGCTGTTTGTGATACCAATCCATCTTTGAAGCGACCAAGTAGTCTTGGGATGGCCTACTTTGGTAGCGCAAGAGCTACTTTCCCGCATGTGGAAACAACGCCAACGTGGCACCCCATGAAGCAGATTTGCTTGGAGTCTTCTTTGGCTGGGGGGTGGGTAAAGTGCAAGGACCCTCCAGCGGTTCCCTTTACCCCAAGGGTCAGGTAGGGGAACATTGTCCATGGCTTGTTGGGAATGCAGCTTGCATGGATCAGCTTGAATTGGTTTGGAGGTGTTCCTGGGTGGTTTCCCATTTTGGCGTCGTGCTAAAGCCCATGTATTCGATTTAGTATTTCGAATTTCCAGGCTTACATGGCATGAGCTTCCCACTGTGTGCGTGGAAGAGACGCGGAAGGGCGGCGGAAGAGATGTGGAAGGGCCAGCAACCGAAAACATTGATGATCAAAACCCAGTGATAACTTGTGTTTAGATTTACAATGGACGCGGAAGTGCACGGAAGATTTGCGGGGGGGAAGGGCGGCGAAAGGGCAGTTGTCAGGAGAAGTGACTTTGCACAACCCCCATTTTTTTCCCATTGCAAGAACCTGGGGTGCAAATCACCAGTCCAAGCCACCAAGGGTCGCCTGATTGGACCGATCATTCTCCGTCTTCCGCTTGGAGCGAACATACCCCAGGCACTGTGGCGAACGTGACAATTCTTCCAACCCCTGCGGGCGACCCCAGCTGGTCATGAGTCATGGATCCATTGATTCAGCGAGTGCTTTGGCTAAGTTGGGTGGATGGCCAGCTTTGTTTGTTTGTTTGTTTCTTTGTTTCTTGTTTATTTGTTTATTTGTTTATTTGTTTATTTGTTGCTTGCTTGCTTGCTGGCTGGCTGGCTGGCTGGCTGGCTGGCTGGCTGGCTGGCTGGCTGCGTGCGTGCGTGCGTGCGTGCTTGCGTGCTTGCTTGCTTGCTTGCTTGCTTGCTTGCTTGCTTGCTTGCTCCACCGTTCGGTCGATCGGGCGGCCAGTCGGTCGGGTCGGTCGGCCGGTCCCGTCTTTTGGGTGTGTTTGCCTGTCCCTGTTTCGATTTCTTGTTTGGATAGCTGTATGTGTGGTCGGCCGCTTGCTTGTTTCCTTTCCGCCTTGCTCACAGAACTGCCGCTTGTTACATTTGCTTTGGGCATATGGCTGTGGGTCAAAACCAATGGTGCCATTTTGGGATAGGTGCACCACCCATGCTAGTCTATTTTGGTGGGGATTGGGATGTTCACTGGGGGCACGGGCTTTTGACCCATGGCCATATGTTTTCTCATTCGGATCGTTTGCTTGATGGTTGCACCGCTTCATGGTACGTGGCTGCTTGTTTACCTGGAAGCTCGTTGTGTTGCAAATAGACGCCTAGAACGGATTGGTTTCGATTGGGCTTGCAATTCACAAAGGATGCTCTTTGCCTATGGTCACAAGATCATTGATAGACCACGGTTCAAAGGCAGCAATTGGCGAAGAGAACTAGGTAAAGGAGTCTACAATATATGGGGCCCGCTCCTCACAACAAATTGGCAATCGCGTCCTATTGAGTTCCCTATGAAAACCTTCCAGAGATATGAACCTCTGGGTTTGACCACCGGTGAGCGGGCGAAATAATGTGCGTTCGGCACAGAGGGCGTTGCGCCTCAAATCAACGGGCCTTATTTTGGACGGCCACAAAGGTAAGTAAACTGGGTACCTGGTGACCATTCAGTGGTGGGTTGCTGACTTCAACCTTCCCCCGCGACAAATATACGTGCACTCAATGGAATGGGTTTGGGGGATGTCAAAACCAAACTCAGTGGAGCCGTGCGTAATTCTCTAGCCCCTCATATCACCTTTCCTGTGACACGCTGGGTTCGGCCCCACATGCGATTTTTTCGTCCTTGCGACCGTTCGACCCGTGCGAACGTGCCTCCAGAAGTATGTTCCTCTGATTTCCTTCCACCCCGTACTCCAGGCACCCTCTTTTTTTGTTGGTATTTGAAACACCCAGCGGTTTGCCGTGATACATACCGACATTTTACTACGGGGTTGACCTGATACCAACTGAAACAAGCGTTGGTATTCGGAGGCTTCGGGAGTACAACCCGCAAGAATGGGTCACCTTGCCACAGGCAAGCCCCATCCTGATTTCGAACAACTTAGCGGAGGAATCGGATCGGGGCGTCCTTTTGAGAAGGATCTAAATGCGACCGAGCAACATCAACCAGGGGGTGATTACTCCGTTAAGAAACTCACAGGTTCACCTCCACCCAATCGAAAGACCTTCTTTTGTTCGGGCAAATATTTTGGACAAAGGACACAATTGTAAATTCATGGTAAATGCCTCCTTTTTAGTCAGGGGCTGAGCCGAGGTTTTGGAGTATAGGGGATTCCCCAAATTACCCCTTTAAGCATCACCCCAACAAGGGACACTCACCTTGGGCCCAGCAACGCGGGTACTTTGGTCGGGGCGAACCAAAAATCGATCGCCTCAGTCGCCTTAGGCCCGAGCGTGCAGCCCGCTGACGAATCGAGGCCTGCAGCGGCGTTCTTGTTTCGAGCGGTCTCGTACCCCGTTTTTTGGGGTTGGTTTCAAGGGAGTTCAAAAGGAACACCCATGTTCCATTTTGGAGGGCCCCCTATTTTCAGACATGTGTGTGTGTGTGTGTTGGTGTTGGTGTTCGTGTTCAGGTTTGTGTTTGTGTTTGTGTTTGTGTTTGTGTATGTGCTTGTGCTTGTGCTTGTGCTTGTGCTTGTGTTTGTGTTTGTGTTTGCGTTTGTGTTTGTGTTTGTGTTTGTGTTGGTGTTCGTGTTTGTGTTTGTGTTTGTGTATGTGGTTGTGCTTGTGCTTGTGCTTGTGTTTGTGTTTGCGGTTGTGTTTGTGTTTGTGTTGGTGTTGGTGTTCGTGTTTGTGTTTGTGATTGTGTATGTGCTTGTGCTTGTGTTTGTGTTTGCGTTTGCGTTTGTGTTTGTGTTGGTGTTGGTGTTCGTGTTCGTGTTTGTGTTTGTGTATGTGCTTGTGCTTGTGCTTGTGCTTGTGCTTGTGCTTGTGTTTGTGTTTGTGTTTGCGTTTGTGTTTGCGTTTGTGTTTGTGTTTGTGTTGGTGTTGGTGTTGGTGTTCGTGTTCGTGTTTGTGTTTGTGTTTGTGATTGTGTATGTGCTTGTGTTTGTGTTTGCGTTTGTGTTTGTGTTTGTGTTGGTGTTGGTGTTGGTGTTCGTGTTCGTGTTTGTGTTTGTGTTTCTGTTTGTGTTTGTGTATGTGCTTGTGCTTGTGCTTGTGCTTGTGCTTGTGCTTGTGTTTGTGTTTGCGTTTGTGTTTGTGTTTGTGTTGGTGTTGGTGTTGGTGTTCGTGTTTGTGTTTGCGTTTGTGATTGTGTATGTGCTTGTGCTTGTGTTTGTGTTTGCGTTTGCGTTTGTGTTGGTGTTGGTGTTGGTGTTCGTGTTCGTGTTTGTGTTTGTGTATGTGCTTGTGCTTGTGCTTGTGCTTGTGCTTGTGTTTGTGTTTGCGTTTGCGTTTGGGTTTGCGTTTGTGTTTGTGTTTGTGTTTGTGTTGGTGTTGGTGTTCGTGTTCGTGTTTGTGTTTGTGATTGTGTATGTGCTTGTGCTGGTGTTTGTGTTTGCGTTTGTGTTTGTGTTTGTGTTTGTGTTTGTGCTTGTGTTTGTGCTTGTGCTTGTGCTTGTGCTTGTGCTTGTGTCTTTGTTTTTGTTTGTGTTTGTGTTTGTGTTTGTGTTTGAGTTTGTGTTTGTGTTTGTGTTTGTGTGTGTGTGTGTTTGTTTGTTTGTTTGTTTGTTTGTTTGTTTGTTTGTTTGTGTGTGTGTGTTCGTGTGTTTGTTTGTGTTTGTTTGTTTGTGTGTGTGTGTGTGCGTGTTTGTGTGTTTGTGTGTGTGTGTTTGTGTGTTTTTGAGATTGCCCTACTCCATGTGATTCTTTCGAGGCACCATGCCAAGCCCCTGACTTTCTCCCATGGCTGGTCAGCCAACCTAAAAAGGGTTGCGATCTTTGACAAAAACGAGTTCCAGTAAGGATCCTTAAGCAGATTTCATGCTGAGTTCAGAGGTCCTTTTTTCAGCTCGTAGGCACGTGCGGGAAAGTCTTCAAGGGCCAATAAAATTTCCGCAAGCATGCAAAAAAGGGCTGCTTGGGCTTTATGAAAGGCGTTGTTTATACTTTGTTTGGCAAAGTTAGCAAGTGGTTAGCCGTTTGTATAGTGAATCCCACTTGCAGGGACTCAGAAGTGGGTTACCGAACGCGGAGGTGGGCGGTTTGGGGAAAATTACTATCACTATTGGAGGGGAACATCCCCCCCCCAATTAATACGACGGGTGTACGAATCCGGGGTCAACATGAACCTGTTTCTTTGACTCACTTCCTGAGTTCATGAACTTTAAACTTTTTGGGAAGACCATTTTAGTGGCAAATGTAAAGTTTGGACTTTTTTTGGGCCATCCACTCAGCAGGTGAGTTGACCCCAAACTTAAGAGGCAAACTCCGAGTCGCAAGAACCGCACGTCGGGCTTGGAACTTCCCGCGCAGGTCTCGGCTGGGTCAAAAAAGCCGCTCAAAAATAATATGTTCTTATGAAACACCCCGTGTTCATGTCGAAGCAAGTGAGACGAGGCCATACCCCCGAAAGCTCCAAATACTTGGTTGCCCTGGTATTTTGTGAAAAGCCTGGCTTTCCATGGTAAATACCTCGTTTCTTAGTAGAGGGTTGACATGATACCAAGCAAACCAAGCTTTAATTTTGGAGGTTCTGGGGGCATTGGAGCCCTTGCTGGTGGGGAAGGGGCCAAGATGCCAGTGCCCTACCCTTCCACCATCATGGCGGATTTGAATTTTGAACTCCGTCCACACCATTTCCTTTCCTTACCACTGAAATCTCCTTCAAAACAATTTTTACCTTGGTTGGAGGCAAAATATCCAATCGAATCTTAGGACATGTGCGCACCTGTCCAAGACAATCGCTTCTCAGTGGGCTCAAAGATGCTCTTCAACGCCACTGGCCTTCCCCACTTAGCAATTGGCTCCGCCGCGCATGCGGCGCTGCATGGATCTGCATCCCATGGATGCGCTGGAGCAGTAGCAGGGGACCGGGCGCACTACGACCTCCTGCTGCCCCAAACACCGGAGCGGCACCGTTGGTTGGTTGGTTGGTTGGTTGGTTGGTTGGTTGGTTGGTTGGTTGGTTGGGTGGGTGGGTGGTTGGTTGGTTGGTTGGTTGGTTGGTTGGTTGGTTAGTGAATTGGTCTTTGTTGATTTCTTGGTGTGTCTGTGTTGTTGGTTTGTTGTTATTTTCGGGGGCCGACTTTACTTCCCCTGCTTTCCCCCGCGCGCTAAACATGTGGATGAAAGCATTTGCTTCGAACTATTTGTTGCATGAACACGCGGATGAACGTGTGGATGAACGTGTGGATGGACGTGTGGATGAACGTGTGGATGACAATCAAACGTTTTGTTAGTTGTCTTTTTATTTTGGCAAAGGGCGGAACATCATTTTTTGAACCCCTTGATTTCCACAAAACAGTTGGAACCCCTGGATTGAACCCTCACGATTCTTTTGGTAGGTGTCCCCTCTGGATTTGGGTGAACGTGGATTCCAGTGATATCAGTCCACCAACAGAGCAATCATGGCGACGAGAAAATTCTGCGCCGTTGACCGTTCAGGAGCAACTCATAATCTAACCTGGGTCAACCATTCATTGATCCCACTAGAGGTTCAGGGTTCTACTTTTTGACTAAGGGTAGACTTAAACCCAGCGGTGGTTCCTTCCCCCAAAAGGGTTTAATTCTATCTTGGAGTACTCAAAAAGTAGAAGCCTGTAGAGGTTTATAGCTTGGGACACAAAGGCACTTCCTTGCTTGTTACGACCTGGAATCTTTGAGTGCAGACCTTTCCGGAAGCCCAATGTTGGGTGGACTAAGACAGGAAGCAGAATCTGAAGATATGATTCAGGACCAAGCTTCCAGACGACCAAGCTTCATGAAACCTGGACCTAAATCTGGCCAAGGGACTGACGTTACTCAGATCATGCCCAGGCCGGGCAAACACTGTTGAGATGTGAATCGGGTGTGTCTTTTCTTGGGGTTCCGAAGCCAAAGGAGCCACATAAAGGAACCCGAAGCCGAAGCTTTGCTGATTTTCTGATTCGAGACAAACCCAATTGTGACTTTCTTCGAGGACGAGACACTCGAAGTTTGGCCACAAAAACCCGCCACCCCCCCTAGGGGTGTTCTACTGTTAGACAACCAATATAAAGGTTCTGATCAAGAGAACCCTGGTCGTGACCTCCATAAAACACCATCAGAACATGATTTTATTATTATACATATATTTATGATACAAGTACATATATGTATATACACACGCATACATGTTTATGATATGATATAAGTACATCCATATCTCTATATACAAATGTGTTTGTTTGCCGGGTTCCCTCAAACAATACATACATACATACATACATACATACATACATACATACATACATACATACATACATACATACATACATACATACATACATACATACATACATTACATACATACATACATACATACATACATACATACATACATACATACATACATACATACATACCTACCTACACCTACCTACACACGTACATACATACATAGATACATACACACACACATACATACACATACACACATACACATATACATACATACATACATACATACATACATACATACATACATACATACATACATACATACATACATACATACATACATACATACACACATACATACACACATACACACACATACATACATACATACATACATACATACATACATACATACATACATACATACATACATACACATACATACATACATACATACATACATACATACATACATACATACATACATACATACATACATACATACATACATACATACATACATACATACATACATACATACATACATACATACATACATACATACATACATACATACATACATACATACATACATACATACATACATACATACATACATACATACATACATACATACATACATACATACACATACACACATACACACATACACACACACACACACATACATACATACATACATACATACATACCTACCTACATACATACATACATACATACATACATACATACATACATACATACATACATACATACATTCCTACATACAAACATACGTACATACGTACATACGTACATACGTACATACGTACATACGTACATACGTACATACATACATACATACATACATACATACATACATATGTATATATGTATATATGTATATATGTACATATACATTTTTCCCCTGGGTTGCTCAAAAAGATACCCCCGTTCTCGGCGCCCTCGACTTCAGGACCGCTACACCTTGGAGAAGCTGGCGCGGAGCTCCTCCCCGGGCCCCGCGGCGAGGCGCTTCATGGTGTCGCTGCAGGAGAGCTGCGGGCGGGAGGACGCCCGCTTCATCAACTTCCTGGCGCGGAATCCATGGATCGAGCGGTTTTTTTTTCTTCCTTGTTTTTTTGTTTTGTGGGGGGGGGGGGGGGTTGGAGAGCTGTGGGTTTAAACACAGGGAACTCCCACGATGGCACCTGGACATGGTTGACGTTGGAAGGGGAGCAACAAGTTAACAAAATGGCAGTTAAGTGGTTGGATTTCAACCACTAAACCACAATAAGCAGAGATGTAAAATGTTTCCCAATCACAACCAAGGGAACGTTTTTGGGAAGATGTTTCGACTTTGAGCCGAGCGAACAGCTCGCTCGCTTTTTGAGCTCCGTTCGGAAGTTTTCGGGGTTCTTGAGCCGTGGCTCAAAAAATGACACCCCCAAACTGGCACCAACTGGGAAATGGAAACAACGATTAGCACCTGCAGTTTGCCCTGGCTCTTGAATTTTGAGCCACACCCAACGCGTGTTTCAGCTTTGAGCTGGGCCACTCCCCGAGTGAGCCAGGACTTTTGGTCGCTTCTGGGGTTTGGTCTGTGAAACGGGGAAACAACACGTGTTGGACTTGTTTTGGCCAATCCACTCAGGAAGTGAGATGGTGATTCCCCATGGCACAACTTTGGATCTCCTCCAAATGGGGAAATGGCGATGACATTGAAGAGTTCGAAGACCCGAGCAAGTGGTTTGACATGAATCGGGACCCACCGCGTTCTGATGTCTACCAAGGGGTAGTAAAATTCACAGTGGACCAAGTCCTGCAGCTAACAAACCAGCAATCCCAACTGCTGGATTTTGTCCATCATGAATGTTGGATGGGAGGGCTGCTTGGGTCAACCCCAAACCAACCACAAAGCATAAACCCACCCTGCGCCCTGGACGACCCCCAAACCAAGCCTAAACCGTCCAAGGGCTTGATGACCATAGTAACCTCAAGTAAAGGACCTTGCCGAAATTTCGAGCTTTGCACACAGCCTCACTTGCACACACACACACAGATTGCACCTGACAGGGGGCCCCTACAAGAGGACTCCTTTTTTGCAGGTACCCTCCGACAGTTGCTATAAACTCAGTTCTTCAAAGCGAACTGCCCTTTTGACCTTTTGGTTTTCCAATTTTGGTGAATTTTCTTAGTCATGGCCCCAACAGTTTTAGTTCCGGGTCCTTTGAGCAACTCACCATCTTCCGTCTGCTTAAGAGTACTTTTTGTTTTCCCTTGTCGGTTTTGAAAGCATATCACTACTGGGAAACTATATATGTATGTATTCTTTTTTCCCAGGGGTCCGAACCAAATGGAAGCCATCCTTCGGCGGCATAAAAAGACGCGAGGCCCAGTTCGTAAAGATCGACGTGCTGGGCGCCTGCGCGCGCCTGGTGACCTACAACACCCGCCACGCCCGGGACCTGATGCGCCTGAAGAAGGCCCTCGAAGTGAGCGAGCCGCAAGCCGATTTGTTAGTCGAAGTTTGAGTGGGGATTGGGATGTTCACTGGGGGTACGAATTGGATTTTGACCCTTGGCCATTTGTGTTTCTTTTTGGTGGCTCGTTTTTTTCTTAATTTTTGAAGCGGGTACCCGAATTCTTCGGGCTGGTTGTCTACCGAAATGACAGGGACAACCACCAAGCAGAACACTTGTTGATGGTGGCGCGTGTTGTTCTTTGTTTTACCCTGCCCGCTGGTTTCAAGGGAAACGACAAGGACCACCAGGGTTTTTTGTGCGGGTTCCAACGAATTTGAGACATCGATTTATATGTTTTTTCCTCAAGGCAACACACCCCTTTTGTTTCCCTTTAGCGAACCAGACAAGACCACTTTGTTTGATTCCATGCCCATCCTTTTCCAACGTTCCTTGCTTGGCATCATTTACATTGGGTGTAAGATGAATCGATCGATAGACAAGTATCTGAGCCACTGACAAAGTTGCTGGCAGTCAACGGTTCACACCGAAATCCGAGATTCCCGGAAAGCCCTTTGGGCAAGCATTCGTAATTTGTCCGGACTGGGAACTTAGAAGGATTCCTATCGGAATGAACTTCCACTCAGTGGCGGAGTTTGGACACGACATGCGTCTTTTTGGGAGGGTCTTTTTGTCCAAACTCCGCATGGGTCTTTTTGGGAGGGCATGGGAGACATGGCGCCATGGGACATTATAATACGCATGGGTATTTTTGAAAAAGGCGCCCGATTTTCGGTCGGGGTCAAAGGGAAGCCACCTGGGTTCGGATCATCACATTTGGCAGCAAACTGACATGGGTTTGACGTCAGACCGCATCGGGTTGCCTTTTCCTCTGTTTGCATCGCCAAAGGGAGACTCACTTTTCATTGGCAACCCAAACCAACCCAAAGGCGAAATACAGTGCATGAACGAAATGCTGCACCACTTTGAAACCATGGGAAACCATTGTTCACCTATCCAACAAACCGTTAAATCAGGAGCTTGTCCAGGAGATTAGCCAAATAAAGGAAACACTGGATTAATAAGCCCTGGTGAATTACTACGGGCTGGGTGTCCCCTATTAGCGGTAGAACAAAAACGTTAGGGTTCAATACAGAATGCAGGGTTCCCTATATAACGTTGTTACCTTTTGAGGCTCGCTACTCTTTTGGGGTTGGTTTAATATTGCAGAACATTCTCCAAAAGATTGCCACTTTTTTCTTCGTCTTCTTCTTTCTTCTATTTTTGTTTTTCGAGGGTTCCTCTTTAATAGTACACTGAGTTTTAAGAAATCCAGGAATGGCGTTTCCCCGGTAAATGCCAACCCGCTGGGTTTGACTTCCCTTTGAATCACCCCCCCAAAGGGGTACCGAGCCTCAAAAAGAGCCCCGGTTCCACAGACTGTGAACCGCCCCCTGAAAAGGTCCCGGAGTCGCAAGCCTCCATTGAACCGTCGAACATGGGTTACACTACCCCTAAACCACTACCTGCAGGGTTAAATGGGGTATACAGCCACTATATCACTTCCCAGGGTTTAAAGGGGTACACAGGCACTCTATAGCAACCATATAGAGTATATATAGGTCTCATGCAGCAGCTGCTAGCTTTCGTTCACCCCTCCTCAAGTATTTTCTTGTATATATACATATATATATATATATGTGCAAACATATATATATATATACATATATATATATATATGTATGTATATATGTATTCTCTTTTTCCCTCTCGGGAGCCGCTTCGGTTTGGGGGGTACTGGACCCCAGTAGAAACCCGCTGAAGAGGTGCGCCCGCAGATCTTGGAGCGCTACAAGTTTGCCCTCCTCAGCGACAGCGCGGCCTTGGGGGACTGGGGTGCCGGGCCCAACACCAACCTCTGGCGGAGCCTCGGCGTGAGAAGTTAGGCGGGGAGGACTCAAACCGGGGAAGCGAAGTGGTGGGGCAAGGCCGGGCTTCCCAAGATCTCTACTTTTTTGGGTTGAATCAGCTTTACTTGGCAGTCATAAGTGGTTGCTCTCCTTTTTTTGGGTTAGTTGAAGCCTTCGCACCTTTCTTTGGCAGCTCGAAGTGAGTTTCCTTTGGGCTGATTGAGCCTCATGTTTAATGATTATATTTTTTGGGGAAGCCTGCAATTGGTGGGGAAAGTGGTCGCATTTGGGGGGGGGGGGTATCATTCTTTTTCTTTAGAGGGGGGGGGGAGGAAACAGCTTCCTATCATTTTGCGGGTTTGAGGATGCTGCTTTAGGCCCAGGTTTGACATGGGTCAAAATGAGTGCATCTGTTCTTGAGGGTGGCTGTGGGAGATTGCCGTACGGGGGGTAAATTCCAATCTTCAAGGGTAGTTTGGGGGTCCGGAAGTGCCCTTTGGGCCTTTTAACTAAGTGCCACCAGCTCTGGTTAATTTTGGGAAGCCAATAGGAAGCCCACCCGGAGGAAGCGGAACTGGGAAAAGACGAGCTCACTCACTAGCAAACATGGTCTTGCACTGGAATGCGCGTGAACTTGTTGTAAAACATTTTTTTTTAAAAGCTGTATAAACCTTGAGAAGCATTTGGACGGGTGTTTTTCTCATCTTAGACAGTGAGGGTCATGAGGGATCAGTTCGACCCAGCCTGTCTTGTATGGCCGCCTTTCTTCCCCCTTTATCCCTTGAGGGTTCTAACCCTTGAAAAGCACGTCGACCGGCCAAACAGGTGGTATCGCTGCCCTTTAAAACGGGCTGCACAAACAGGCTTTCATCTTTGAGATGACTGCGCAGAGGGGTTTGCCTCTAGATGAGGGACTCCCCCCCGAAAAAGCGATGGGTGTTTTCCATTTGGCGTCCCTTAATTCAACATCCAAAAAGGGGTTCCCCCCAAAAAGCCTTCCCCCCATATTTTTCCGAGGAGCAGGGTTGATCATTGACCAGGTTGCGAAGAAAGCCGGGAACCAGGAAACCGGCCCTCCTTTCTTGTTCTTTTTCTGGAGGGAGCTTTGCCTTCGGCAAAGTCCCAATTCGTGTCTGGATCCGGGCCGTGCCGTGCAGAGCAGCCGCCGGCTGTTCTCGCGTGGAAGTGTTTCTTCTCCAGTACTCAGCGTCGATATTCAGGTAGCCCTTGGTTGGCGGTTCGGTTTGCTGGTTCAAATCCTTAAGCCACCAACCCAACCCACCAAACAAGGGTAAACTGATCTATTCTCCTTGGTTTCCGCAAGGGTTTTGCCCCTTGAGCAAAAAGCCTCACGACTGCCGGCAACTCGGGTTGGGCCAGGCGTGTTTTAACAAAGAGATACCGTGGATGGTTGCGAAATCCGATTTCGCACCACGAACTGACACTATGGTTGAAGCCATATAACGTTTGTTCATATTTACAGGGGGATCGAATCAGACACCAGGGTTTCTGAACGATGGTGCGAGAAGCGGATTTCGCAACCATCCACAGAGGTCCAGGGTCTGATTGTGAACCACATGTTGCGACCAAAGCCTGCAACAACTCCAACCCCAACAAAAGGAAGTCGTAGTTCTTTGGGCCCTTTCTAGTCCTTCCATTGCGGCTTGCACAAACCTCCACTGTGTATTAGACTGCTCCGAGTTTAGTGCTAGCTCTTCGCAGAACACCCATCCAGCATCCAGAAGCAATAACACCTCACCCCCCCCAAAGCTGGGGTGAGTTGCAAGGATCCTGGCGGCAGGGGCTGTGCCTGTGTACTGGGGCAGCCCTACCATGGGCTGCTTGGCGGGGCTCGAGGCATGTGTCTTCGACCCTTCAACCTGGGGAATGCGCCGTGCTGGCTGTGGATGGACGAAATCCATTTTGCACCACGTAAGAAAGCATGGAGTGATGTTTCCCCTGCAAATACCAACAAACAATGCTTTCCCATAGTTTCAAGCAGGTACACCACAGTATGGGCCGAGACATGGGGAATCAACCTCTATGGTGCGACCGAATCCACAAACTCCCAAAGACCTTTTGGAAAGAAGTTGCTTTTCCATACCTACAGGTGGTCAACCTTCTGATGAATCCCTCGTCCTTTGAGTTGGTACCTTTTTTGTGGTTTTAAAGTTGAGAACCAGAAAAAAAAAAAAAAAAAAAACGAGATCTATCTTGCGGGTCCCAATCCTAAAAGGACACGCTCAGCTTGGAGAATGGTAGCATACTCCCTGAGAAATGGCAGAGACTCCAGGCCCCCATCAATGGGTATATCCAGAATAGGACTCGGAACTCCCAAAGTGGCAACTGTGTCCTTTTTCATTTCCAACTGAAAACCAACTCCGAAATGGTATCAAGAAAAGACACCCGATGTCCTTCCCTTTATGGCTATTTGCGAACGGATCTTTGGACTGTAGCTTTTTTGGAAAATGTAGATTTTCCGTATTGGACCCCCCCAAAAAAACAAGTTGAACACATTTTGCAGAGGGGTCGTTTGCTTACTCTTCCGTTAGTTTGCTCTTCCGATGAATATGGACCCCAGCTGCTGAGGAAAATGTTGCAAGTCATCGGCTCAAGTACCCAATCTTTGGGAAACAGGTCGGATTGTTCTTATTGGACCCCAATAATTGTAAACGCTTCGCGTTGCCCGCCTCGGCCCAGCCTAGTTTGAGGGAAGGGTCAGGAACACCGAAATCCAGTGTTGGGAAGGTCCGAATCCTACTGAAAGCTTGTGACCGCACCAGTTCGCCCGTGCTAGTTTGATGTTCGGAAGCCGTCTTGCTCGGAAGGTTTGAAATCCAAAACCAAGACTGTCAGCCTGGGCTGAGCTGCTTGGGCAGCCGGACTGGGGGGCTGGGGCACGTCAGACAGGCTTAGTAGCTGGCGTAGCTTGAGACCAGTCTCGTGAGACTGGTCGTTGGCCTGAGACCAGTCTCAGACACGTTAGACAAACCTGACCTTGGCACGCTGGGCTGAGCCTGCTGGTGCGCTGGCCTAGTGGCTGGCATGCTCTGAGATGCTGGGCAGGCTGGGCTGAGGTGGGTTGCTGGTTGGGCTGGGCCTGAAGCTAGTCTCAGCCACGAGGCTGCGAAGCCATGGGTGGGTTGCTGGCTTCCGGGCAGCCGGACTACGATGCTGGTTGCGCCTGGAACTTGGGCTGGGCGGGCTGGGCTGAGCTGTGCTTGGGCGGGTTGCTGGATGGGCAAGGCCTGTTTCATACACACTTGGGCCTGGCCCGAGGCCAGTCGCAGACACGTAAGACACGCCAGCAGGCGGGCTGAGGGACTGGGCCTAAGGCTAGTCTCAGGCTGGCATACTTTGAGACCAGTCTCAAGTCTCAGACTGCGCTGAAGGGGCTGGGCCTGCTGGATGACTTGGGGCCAGACGCGAGCCGGAGGTCAAGGCCTGGCCAGCCTGGGCTGAGCCGGACTGAGGGGCTGGGGACGTCAGACAGGCTTAGTGGCTGGCATAGCTTGAGACCAGTGTGTGACTGGTCGTTGGCCTGAGGCCAGTCTCAGACACGTTAGACAAACCTGACCTTGGCACGCTGAGCCTGCTGGGGAGCTGGGGGCCGGCCGAGTGGCTGGCATGCTCTGTGCGCCGGGGCCTGGGCTGGGCAGGCTGGGCTGAGGTGGGTTGCTGGTTGGGCTGGGCCTGAAGCTAGTCTCTGCGAAGCCATGGGTGGGTTGCTGGCTGCCGGGCAGCCGGACTACGCTGCTGGTTGCACCTGGAACTTGGGCTGGGCGGGCTGGGCTGAGCTGTGCTTGGGCAGGCCTGTTGGGCCTGAGGCTGGGTGCCAAGTTGCTGGCTGCTGGGCCTGAGGCCAGTCGCAGACACGTAAGACACGCCAGCAGGCGGGTGAGGGACTGGGCCTGAGGCTAGTCTCAGGCTGGCATACTTTGAGACCAGCCTCAGACTGCGCCGAAGCGGATGGCCTGGTGGATGATCTGGGGCCAGACGCGAGCAGGAGGTCGACCTGGCCAGCCTGGGCTGAGCTGCTTGGGCAGCCGGACTGAGGGGCTGGGGCACGTCAGACAGGCTTAGTAGCTGGCATAGCTTGAGACCGTCTCAGACACGTGAGACTGGTCGTTGGCCTGAGGCCAGTCTCAAGACACGTTAGACAAACATGACCTTGGCACGCTGGGCTGAGCCTGGTGGCGGGCTGGGAGCTGGGAACCGGCCTAGTAACTGGCATGCGCCGGGGCCTGGGCTGGCTGGGCAGGCTGGGCTGGGCTTGCTGGATGACTTGGGGCCGTGCTTGGGCGGGTTGCTGGTTGGGCTGTGTCAGGCAAGACAGGCCTGGCCAGCAGGGGTTGCTGGTTGGGCTGGGCCTAGACACGTCAGACAGGCCTGGCCAGCAGCATGCTGATCCACATTTTCGACAAAAATGGACCCATGGAGCTGGACGCCGACGAACCCCGAAAATTTCAAGGCCCGCCGGACAGGATTTTGGGCCAGCCGACATGGGTGGGGGGGGGGGGGGATTTTGGTTGGGAGCGCCCTTGGCCCCTTTAGGGCCGAGGCGAATTGCACTTTTGTCAGAGGGGTGGTTGCAGCAACCAAGGAACAGTACCCCAACGGTTCCTTGCCGATTCCCATGAAAAGAACTGTTGGGACCCAATTTAGTCATCGGCTCAATTAACCAAGTTCCCCACTGTGGATGGTTGCGAAATCTATTTCGCACCACAAAATGAAACTGTACGTTGGGGAATCCAATTAACAACCAGGATTTCTAAGGTGCGAGACTCGCGGATTTCGCAGCCATCCACAGTACTTGGTGGCTCCCAGCCATCCGGTTCCTTAGCCTTTTTGGCTTTTTAGTTGGCTAAAAGTTCAAGGTTTCCACAAAGAGTTCGTCACATTACGGGGATGCGAACTCGGGCCGGGCCGAGATCCGCAAGTTGCGGAGCTCCGAGGCCGCTTTCTGCCCCGCGGCTCCGCCATCGATGCGCTCGACTTCAGCTCCCCGTTGGCGTTGGCGGCGAAGTTGCAGGAGCTGACGAACGACTCAGAGGCGGGGCCAAGGGGGGAGGCCAAGGGGAGGGAGTGTATCTTTTTTTGGTGGGACCACCTTGTTTTGGCTTGGTTTAAAAAGGAACGCCATAATTGAGGACAATGCTCATCTTTTGGGCCACCTATGTTGAGACAGCCGCATTTGGGGGTGTCGTGCTTTTTGTGGGGACCCCCTTTGTTGGTTTCTTGGGTTGGAAGGAAGCTCACCCTTTGCCATGTTTTGTTTTGTTTATTTCCGAAAATGGGAAACCACCACACCTCCAAACCAGCAATCTCCACGCCGCTCTAAATAGACCGGGGGATTAAAGTCTATGAACCGATGGCCATTTTGGACCCCTAAGAAAGGGCTGATTCCCAGAACTACGCCATAGGCCATAACGAACGGTCGATTGACCCATAAACAGATGGGGTTCATACCAGGGTTCAAGAGTTTCATCATGGGTCTTGCCATCCTTTTTGCATGGGTACGTTTGAACCAACAATCAAGTCTTTTGGCTGGTAGTTGCCTTGATTGTTTTGACCCGGGGATCCATCTTTGATTTTCCCAAGGTGAACTTTCTCACCAGGGGTGGTTGATGTCCCCAGTGGAACTCCAGTTTCAAAAAGCCGTTCAACGGGTAGACGTTTGCACAACACAACAAGCCATTTGCTAGAACCAATTTTTCGGGCCACCCAACTCAAAGTAGAGTCACATCGATAGGACAACGGTAGTGCCCGGCCTCTTTGCGGAAGTTGACACCGAAATCAGCCTCTTGGATGCGGGCCCCCAAGCGAAACAGGGTTTGTGTCGAATTCGGAGGCGGCCGCTGGCCAAGATGACCATGGGTCACTTTCTCCATGTGGTGGTTGAAATATCAAATCTTTTTAGTGGTTTTCCAACCAACCATCCCATGTGTCACGGACCTTTTGATCAGCCCCATCTCTTTATTTTGGCGACCCTGGTGAATCAGGAGGCTGTTGCGTGGCAATCAGAAGCACATGGGTGTGTCTTTTGTTAGGGGGTCCCTTTTGGTTTTTTCCCATTTTTTTTCCGGGGGGGGGGGAACCAAAAGGAATCAGAAGTCCCCTGACCTCAACAAATAGACCCCGCCGCCACAACTCCTCACTCCCGATCGAGTGGATCGGTCAGAAAAGAAGGTCCAAACTTTGTGTTTACCACTAAAATGGAGTCTAGGGGCACCTTCCAATTCCATTCTTTCCAGGGATCCTTCTTTCTTGAAAACCTCCACAGATCCGGTTCTTGGAAAGAACGATGGTTGAAAAGACTGGAAAAGGAATCAACCCCTAGAATGAGTCTCTTCAGGATCACTTCTTACAGCTCAACGTCTGGCGGCAACTCAACGCCACAGCGCCCTTGAGCCTTGGTGCCGCTCTGGAGAGCCAGTCCCCGCCCCTCAGCCAGGACCCGATTTGCTTTTTGCTTGTTTCTTCTTATTTTTCTTCCTCTGGCGGCGGTTCTTCCGTGACCCGATGTTTTTTTTGGTTTCTTCTTCTTTTTTCTCCGGCGGTTCTTCCGTTTCTTTTGTCTTCTTTTCTTCATGAGAGCCCAATGCAGGGCCCTCCAATGAAGGAGCCCAGGCCCATTCCGAAAAGGGGCCAAAGGAAAGAACACAACCCGTTTTGACGGGGCAAACACCATCGAATTGGAGCCTTTGGGGTCTTATGGGGTAGAAAGCAAAATATGTGAAACGCCATCAGAAGATCTATTGTGTTGTAGAATACCTGGTTTTTGTGGGCCAAGTTGGTGCTTTCGCCTTGGCTCATCCCTGGAACAAGTGCCCAATTTTGGGGGCTTGCACAAGCCTAGCCCTTCCCTCTTTTTCGTGGGGCGGAGACCTTGGCTTTTCCATGGCCCTTTAAAGTGCCAAATGGAAGTGGCTCATATGTTTTTCGGATTTGGACCCCCAGAACGAGTGGTGTTTCCTCTTGGCTTCCCTTCGAACAACCTCCCCCAAAAAAAAAGGTCGCACCCTCAAGAGAAAGACGAGCCACAATTGGAACCACCACCATTTTGGTTGGTCTCAAAGAGGGACACCACCAGGAGAACCGCCATTTATAAGCTTTGTAAGGTTTACTGGGTTTAGGGTTTACAGGATTCATAAGGTTTATAAGGTTTAAAGGGTTTATAGGGTTTATGGGTTTACCGGGTTTCTAGGAGGGGGGACACCACCAGGAGAAGCGCCGCCCAAAACAGGCGAGCCACCCCGGTTGCCAGGACTCGCTGGCCGCCTTGGCCGCGTCCAGGCTCCGGTCCAGTCCTGCGGAGCCGAGGTTCTGCTCGGAGACGTGGGCGCTGGAGCAGCGGTGGCTGCGCGAGTGCTACGGCGCTCTGGGCGGATTTTCATGGAGCCCTTGGGAGGGGGGGGAGGCAAATGGGGAGGGGGCTATCCATATTTTAGTCCTTAAGGGCCTTATTAAGATCCAAATGCATGGTGAAAGGTTAGGGTTGATGGCAACCATTTTTTCAATTCGCTTTCTCTTCAAACACCAACCTGGTTTAGGCGGGGCGATCTGGAAAAAAGGGCTATCCTACTAGGGGTTGATTCCTCGTCGATTCGTTTCAACCAGTTTCCCGCGGGTTTTTGGAGGGTTTCCTGACGCAAGCTCAAGGCATGCTGCCCGCCTGGGTGCAGTCCTTTGACCACCACACCTTGACGGCAACCTTTGAGCGCGGGAGTGACGGGCTTCGCATCGAGATAGCGGGGGGGCAGGACGTCGGTGTGGGTCTGCGACGTTTTTTGAGGGTACCCGGTTTTAAGTTTGTTTGGAAGGGAAAGTAAATGGAAGCCGCCGATTTTAGCGGATCCCCAATTTTGAGACACAGCCATGTGGTTTCAAGGATGCCATTTCCCGTGATACTAAGGAAACCGTTCAAGGAAGCATTTTCCAACCCCAAACAAAATCCCTGGTTTCGGGGTTTTCGGATTTGGCCTCCTTGAATTTTTGGTTTTCCCCACCGGCGGAGTCCCATGTTCCCAGGACGCTCTCTCCGTCTTCGTCCCCACGGCCCCCGCTGCTCCGCGCGAGCTGGCGCCTGTGGGGCCGCGGCTGGGGGCGCAGTGGGCGGCGCTGGCGCCGCTGCTGGGGCAGCGGGAGCTCTTTGCGGAGGCCTCTGTGCTGCAGCTGGGCTTCACCCCAGAGGAGCTGAAGAGAAGAGGGAGGTGCTGCAGGGGTGGAGGGGGGGGGGGGGGTTGGGGGGGCGCGTGCAGTTTTGGAGGGGTGGAAGAATCGGATGCACTCCAGGCGTGCCTGCGTTTTTTTCTGGGGGGGGGAGGGGGAGAAGTCCGTTTCCGGGTTTGAAAGGGAGCGCTGGGGGTTACCTGGGGGGCCAATTAGCGAATGCGACCACCGGGGCTTCAGGACGCGGTGCCTTTGGCCGCGCTGGGCGCCTTGGCCTTCGGCGCCGCCAAGGCGCTGCTGGCGGCGCCCCGCTGGGCGCAGCCCGCGCTGCGCGGCCTCGGCGAGGCGGTGCCGGGCTTCAAAGCGGCCCAGGCGGTTTGGGCGGCGGTTTGGGCGAAGGGAAGCGGAGGTGCTCCGCCCGTTTTTGCGCGTTCTGTGACTTCTGTGTGGTTGCCCGTGGCTTGAAACACTTGGCCGGCTTCGTTTTTTTGGTTGTTGCCCGCAAAGCCCGTGGCTTGAAATGCTTGGCCGGCTTTGGGGTGGGAGGGTGGAGGTTCTGTGTCCGGTGTTGGTGCGTTAATGAGGGTGTTTTTGATTGTTCCGGGAAAGCCCGAGGCTTTTCTTTGTACGTTTCTCTTTGGGTTGGTATTCTAGGGTCATTATGTTCGTCCTGTTTCTTGGTGGGTGTGTCAAAGTCGGTAGAAGCGGCGGTTTCCCTTTAGCCTACCACTTGCAGGGTTGACTTTGAGGATGTCCGCGTTTCGCTCCTGGAAACCAAGTTTGCTCCTGGAAACCAAGTTTGGTCGGTCCCTGCTTTTTGTTTCTTTGGAGGTTGTTTTTTTTTTTTTGAGTTGGCGGGCTTGTTTTGTTTTGCCAGGAAAGCCCTGTTATTGTTGGTTGGTGGCCTTGCTTCTGTTTTCTTTCCAGTGTTCTTCTTGGGTTGGTACCAGTTGTTGGTGTGTGTTTCAGGGAACTCATTGCTTTAGGCTGGTTCCTCGTTTTGGGGTGAGTTTCAAAGGGGTTGATTGTAATATTATATTTGCACTGATTCATGCTTGGAATCGCGGGTACAATATCGGTCCTTAGCAGAATAGAATTATCAGCGCATAGGACCAGTTTTTCAGTTGCGGCTTTTCAAGGGAGTTTAAAAGGAGACCCGCGGTTGAACAATGTAAAAACACCGAGCTGTGGTCTCTTTAAGTGAAGTGACACCCGCAGAAGGTTGTTCGAACAACAATTCAGAAATGCCCAAGCCCCCCAACACGACGATTTTTAGTAGGTGGCTCTACTACCTGCTTGTTTGGGGTTATAGTAAAACCTACTTGTAAACCTTTATTTACCATGTTGGTAGAAGCAAAGAAAAAAAACCCAAAGAGCAGACCTGGGTGGTTCTGCCTGGAAAGTCAGCTCGGGTGAAACGAAAAGGCGCCGCGATTTCGAGCAGAGATTTCGACTCATGGCATCGGAAAAGTTGGCGCAATCCGGGCCGCAAGGACGAGGACTTCAGAAGCGGGGCGGAGATGGAGGTGAGCTTTTGGCTGGAGGCCGATGGTGCTTGGGCTTGGGGGTTGTTTCTTTGGGAAGGGGAGGTTTGGAGGGGGGGTTTGGGGGGTTTGAGGTTTTTGGGGGTGCGTTTTAACTTTGGTGTGTGGTTTTGGGGGGTTGGGGGCTTGGGTTTGCCCGTTGAAACGATCAGCAGCTCGGGTTCCTCGCAAAGTGAAGGCAGCATGGTCGCGTGTGATTGTGGCAGCAGCATTTGCTGATTCCCCTGCAAATATCAACAAACAATGGCTGCCCATGGATTCATTTCGTGGTGCGAGTTCGGATTTCGCAACCATCCACCGTAGCAATGGAAATACCAATAAACGTTATGGTTTCAGCCATGGTTTCCAAGTGGTACGAACGAACCGGTTTTCCAGCCATCGTAGTTGCTTCAGGCCCTCCCAATCCGGAGCTCCAACGCCTGGGCAAAAAACCTCCGGCACGAAACGACCTCACCCAGGCTCCAATCTATTTAGGTCGATGCTTTGAGAGCTCACCCACACACTTCCTGAGTTCCGTTTCGGACTTTAGTCACGTGGGGTTGAACCATTTTACTGGTAAATGGACCATTTGGACTTGCTTTGGTTCGTCCACTCAGGAAGTGAGCCCAGAAGCATTTTGGGCGCATATGCTCTATTCATTTTGGCCCTCTTCAACTTGGTTTGAAGGAAGACAAAACAAACATGTTGGAAGTCCAAATCCCTATTTTGACACATACCCCATACTGGACAAATGTTTGCACTAGTTGGGATTGGTGCTTTGTCGCCTGTATTCAAATCGGGATTCATTGTTACTGGTGAGCTTTGTGATTTTCTGTCCATGCAGCCCCAATTTGGGGACACACCCTAGTTTCCCTCCAACAATCATGGAACAAAATGGTTTTGGAAGACACCTTCCTGTCCACTTCCATGGGCACGTGGGAAAGAGGGTATACACTCCCATTTTTCGCGTTCCGGGGGGGAGGGGGGGTGGAGGGGGGTTTTGCTTTTCCCTCAGACGAAGCCACCTCTTGGGCCGGGGGGGGGGGGGCTTGTTTTGAGACCCACCACTCCATGGTTTTCTTCGCTTTCGGAGGCCGGTCGAAACGAGTTCCTCAAGGGCGACGTGGTCTTCGTCTTGGGGGACACGCTCCGCATTTCACTGCAATGTTTGGGCCTGCCGTTGCAGCAGCTGCTTAGCGCTTCGACTTAGCTCTCGAAACCCGTTTCGGACTTGAGGCACTTGGGTTTGGACCAGTCAAAAAGATCCGGCTTTTTCGGGCCCGTCCCTTCTGGAAGTGAATTATCTTGGTTTTAAGGAAAACCGCCAGAACGCCTGGGGGTACTGGGGATTCGATTACCATTCCCAGCCGAAAAGGACCACCACATTGGCTTGTGTTTCTTGGAGATCTTGAGGCTCGGTCCCCTTCTCAGCCTGGTTTCAAGGGACGCCAAAAGGAACACACCGGACCTCGGATCTTGGGGGTCAAAAGGACAGATACCACAAAATCACGAGGAGGCTCGAACACGGGCAATGAAGGTCCCGGGCCCGGAGATGCCGATGTTTTGTTTTGAACCAACATCAGGAATATTTCGGCGTCCTTTTCTGGTTGGTTTAGCAAGAAATAGATGGGTGTTTTCCACTGGTTTTGATGGGGTCTTTATTCCATGTACCAGGGAGATCCATGGATTTTGCCAAAAGGTCGCCTATGATCACGAAGTCATGAAGTCCGGACGAGAAGGCAGTTGTCAACTCAGAGGTCTAAAATTCTAAAACAGGTGTCCACTACCCGCAAACCACTACCCCCTCTACACACTTGTTGCTTGTACCAAGTATGATGGGACCTTACGTTCCAATGGAGGTGACCCCTGTGCAACGGATCCCTTAGATGCTTGCAAGAAGGCGCTTTGCCTGAAAGAGCGAAGGTTTGGTCCATGCTTGGAGACCAAGGGCAATCCCTTATTCTAAGAGGGGTTCAACTACCCTCAGAAACCAGGGTGTATACCCTTTACATAGTGGTTATAAAGCGGTTGCGTATTCCATGTTTCCCACAATTTGCCTTTTTAATCTTTACATGTGTCACTAACAACATTGCTTGTTGGTTGTGGAGGGACATGACCTGGGGAACAACCCAAACGCCCCCACACCCTTTTGGCAGGGGTCAGTTTGTCTCAAAATGAGTGAGCAAGGGCTTCCTTCGGGTTCCCGTTCCAACCCAAAACACGGATTGCAAAAAAGGGGCGTTGTGGGCCCAATAAATCAAGTGCCCGTTACTTCTTGATTGGGTGTGTCTGTGTTTGAGGGAACCCTCCCTCTTGATTGGTTTTGAATGAACACTTAAAGGAAAACCAATGCCATTTTAGGGTTCTGGTTCCTATGTCGACACATGGGGGTTGATCACAAGGTCCGTGACACCAAAAAGGCTACCCAGGTCATTTGGAGCCGCCACATGCCGTTTGGCACGCCCGCAAACCGATTCCCAGTTTTTGGTACTCCCAAGGCGATCAACAGATCCTTTGCACTTGACGACCATGAGGGGAAACCACCAAAAAAGGATGACTTTCCCCCCTAAGTGGGCGAAGTTACCCAATTTGCAACCCCCACGGATTTTTTGGTTTGGTTTGCCAATTCATTTGCACCCCCCAGGTCATTTGAACCCCCCCATCAATCCCCCCGCTTGGGGAATCCCTTCGTTTGGTTTGCGCGGATTCCGATCCCAAGGCTGGTGGGACTCTTTCGGCACCTCTCAGCCACCGCGCTGGTGGTCGAGTGGGGTCCCGAAGCTTCGGGAGAGGCGAAGCCATGGTTGTGGTTGGGGAAATTTTACATCTTTGCTTGTTGTGGTTTAGTGGTGGAAATCCAACCACTGAACTGCTTAGTGTTGCTTTTTTTACATGTTCGTTTATTCTGGTTCAGAGGTGGATATCCAGCCACTGAACTGCTAAATTTTACATTTTCGTTTATTCTGGTTCAGAGGTGGATATCCAGCCACTGAACTGCTAAATTTTACATTTTCGTTTATTCTGGTTCAGAGGTGGATAGCCAGCCACTGAACTGCTAAATTTTACATTTTCGTTTATTCTGGTTCAGAGGTGGATAGCCAGCCACTTAACTGCTAAATTTTACATTTTCGTTTATTCTGGTTCAGAGGTGGATAGCCAGCCACTGAACTGCTAAATTTTACATTTTCGTTTATTCTGGTTCAGAGGTGGATAGCCAGCCACTGAACTGCTAAATTTTACATTTTCGTTTATTCTGGTTCAGAGGTGGATAGCCAGCCACTTAACTGCTAAATTTTACATTTTCGTTTATTCTGGTTCAGAGGTGGATAGCCAGCCACTGAACTGCTAAATTTTACATTTTCGTTTATTCTGGTTCAGAGGTGGATAGCCAGCCACTGAACTGCTAAATTTTACATTTTCGTTTATTCTGGTTCAGAGGTGGATAGCCAGCCACTGAACTGCTAAATTTTACATTTTCGTTTATT